GTTTAATTTTTTTTCCTCTCGATCTCGAAATATTTCCTCTTGTTTTGAAAAACACAGATCACCTAAGATGACGAACTGTGTAGGGGGAAGGTACCGGGTCGAAACAAGAACCGCAGATGAAAGTTTTGCACTTGGCACCGTTCGGTTTGATGACAGTGTGGTGAAACAATTCATTGCTCTAAAATTTTCCAAAGGGTTCTCCTCCTCCCTCCCTCCCTTTATTTTGGTCTCCGCATCCCTCCGTTTGCCAAGCCTGTAGCCTGTGTTTGTTATTTGATTTCCACGACAACACGAGAAACCAGATTTACGCATCCTCGAATTGGACACTGACCCACGGAGGAAAATCGTTCACTTTGGGGGGCGATCACAGACTCTTTGCTGACTTTGCCGCCACCCACAGAAGTCCTCCCCCAATACTGAAATGCCTTTTTCCCCCCCTCCTCCTTTAGATAAAAATGAGGCTTTATGCACAGCACTACTACGGAAGCTTTGATGTGTTAATGAATTGAAAAATGGTCTTCAACAGAGTTCAGTTATCCCCGCTGAGCCTAATTTGGTTGAGAGGGTGTGCAGTGGTGATGATGGTAGGGGGTGGCATTTTGGTGGGAGGTGGTGTGTGTGTGTGTGTGTGTGTGTGTGTGTGCGCGCGCGTGCGTGCAGGCACTTCAAAACAAACCCATAAACATTCCAGGATCTTTGGGGCAGCTGTAGCTCTGAGTTAACAGCACGCAGGGTGTGAAGTGCAGGAAAGAACCACATGCAGGTAGCATAGAAACACCTACTTGCTTTTAATTTTTTTTTTTTTCAGTGCTGATTTTCTAGGATTTGTTCATTTTTCTCCTGCACTTTTTTTTTTTCTGCATCCATCCCCATTTGCGTCGTTCTTTTATTGTCAGATACTAAACTTTTTCCAATTCTTTCTTCCTGTGACAAAATGTCTGGATGTCGTTAAATCCTTTGCAGCTACACGTGCTAAATCATTTAAAGGTTAAATTCTGGAGCTTTCTTTTACATTCTCCACACTTAAGCGTGTCCAAGCTCAGTCCGGTCTTTGTTGGCCGATCTTATTGCACAGCTGTAAATCTAGAGGATGCCATAAGAGGTCCGCTGGTACTTCAGCTGGGCAGAAAACGCGATCCATCGCTTTCATGTTCTGCTACAAGGTGTTAATGGTCACAAGTGCTCACAGCTGTGTGTGTGTCTGAGATGCTTGATCACAATCACAGACCCCTACCTCCATGCCCCCACCCGCTTTCCACCCCTGCAGCCCCAGCCACTCAGTGTGACGTGTGTGTTCTTTGTCACATTTCCCTTAGAAGAAGTTGGACAGGCTGTTTAGATCTTCACATGCACATACACACACACACATGCAGGGAGTCTCTCACCAGTCGATGTATATTGTTTTTCCCACTCAAACCTGGGACCAACCATCTCGCCATCTAAGAGCAGACTAAGGGTTAAAAGGCTTTGAACTCATTTTTCAAACTTTGTTCAGGATTAAATTGCCCCGCTCCCCTAACACTGCCTTCATATTCCATTTTGGATAATTCTCCAGGGTTGAGAATTAATTCTGATCTTGGACTCTCCAGAGTATGAAAGTACAGCAAATAAATCCAGCAGGGTCTCTACACAAACAGCGCTGCCTTGATATGAATTTATACATAAAACAGTATTTTCATTAGCTCGAGGATTCCATACAAATTGGGCAACATAATAACCAGATGGAATTGGGAAACAGTCTGGGAATGTGCTCCCCTTTTTCTTCCAGGGCCCGCAAGAGGGTGGGTTGGGGGGGGACTTGGCCTCTTTCCCAACCAGGTGCCAGGCTTTCCTTTGAGTGTGGACAGCGATATGTATTGCTCACCACATGCGGGGTACTTATTGCTTAACATTTGCGCTTGAGGGATTCTCCTCCAGTGAAGTTGTCCTTTAAGTGATTGCAAAAAGCTCAGATCATTGAACTTAATAGAACTGGAGAACTGACCTTGGCTGGAGCAGAGAAATCAAAATCATCTGTAAATTATTGGGAAATATATCTTAAAGGTCACACATTATACCATTATCATTATAAGTTCATCTAAGTCTCATATCTCTCAAGAATGTGCATGTCAAGTGTCAGCTTAAAATACAAAACGGATTTCTCATCCTGCAGTGGTTGTACAAACACGGTCTTTGCTGTGTTTTATAAAGTTTCCCTTAAATAAAATAGGGGCCTTGGCAGTGGCAGCTTATCTGGAACAGCGCTGGGCCTTCTCCTGCCATTGCAATAGATATCTCAGAACAGGAAAAGTAAAGCAAAAGAACTTTGGTTACCCGCCATAAGCCCAGATCCTGTAAGTATAGACTTACCCACTGTCTTGTAACAAAACTCCAGAATTCAGCCACACGTCTGAACCAGAACTGGACCCAGAGCAAGGAAAGAGTCTTACAGAATGAAATGCTGCACTAAATTTTCACATAATAGAGTTACCATTTCTGAAATCACTTGCATTATGGCTATTTATTTTCCACTTATGTACAATCGGGCTAACTGAGTTTAGCCTGCACCACAGGACATGAAGAGACATGAAAATACCCACTTGTAGCAGTCTCAGTATTAAAGGCATTTTTTGCTGGCCTTTTGTATTCTAACACAACGCTGGTGAGTAGGCGTATATACTCAGGTCGTGCAAATAGTAGCCAGATTAGCTGTGCAACATGCTAACAGTGTTTTCCGATCAGGCAAGAGTGGGTAAAGTGTACTGCATCCATTCAACACTAAACATTAGTTTGATTGTAGTATTTTTTTCAGATGTATAGCTAAGAGCTTTACAGAGCTACAGGCTCAAACCAAAAAATAAAGAAGTAAAGGGTCATGGAGTGGAGTGGGGGGGGGCTTTGTTGAAGATGAGGACTGTGTAGTTGTGACATGACGTTATGGAAGGCCCTTATAAGTCGTTTTTAAGGTAGTTTCTGAACACAGTTTGCGTAAATCTCTATTTTTCTAAATCATTTATAGTCCACCTTTACATATTTGTATTGAAATGGGTACTGAGATCTCATTTTCTACGAACTTAGAACTTTTAAACTTATTTTGTTACGTGTTCTACAACTGGTTTCTTATTTTGTCAGTAGTAAACTTAATTACTGAAAAGATTATTTATATAATTGAAAATTAAAAAAAACTGATATTTCCCAAATCTTTGGAACAGCATTGTTGTTTTAAAGGAGTGACAGAGTCATTTAAAAGATGATTAATTATTAATTGGTCTTTATATAAACACTAAAAACGTATAAAAGCAGGGGTTGAATACATAGAACATAAAAGTGACGTTGGACAAAATTTTATTCAGTAGTAGTGATGATGATGATTATAAACTACCTGTTTTCATTGCCCATTATGGCACTTAATTACTTAATTTTCTTATTTATTTTACTGTTTTGTGTCTGTGTACAATGTATTTGTACATACTGTCTGTGAAAAGCTCTTACAAACTTTTATTTACTTACTCAACACAAAGGTGTAAAGGTACCATGTTGTGGTTACAGGTGTTGCAGGTGTGTTATGTACCATTTTTATGCTCTTTAATTCATACACAGCCGTAGTACCTTAGTAGCTCGGCTTTTTGCCTAGCAACTTCAGAGTGGTGACGTGTCCTCATGAAGTGACTGCACCTGGGCAAGAAATAGCTCTACAAACAAACAAGATATAATGTGTTAATTAGTGAGGGCTGGCAGATTTAGTTACCTCCGGTCAGAGCCAGGCTAGGTGTTTGGCCCTCGTAAGAGGCTGTTCTCGCTAGCTTCATGTTTATCCATCTGGCATGAGGATGGTGTCAAACTTGTAGCCCCGCAAATATGATCATGTATACACGGAGTGAGTGGGTAAGACAGAAAATATACATTTCACATGTTTCTGTAACTGACCCCTCTGCGCCTTACCCTCACCCAGTGTGTTTTAACTTAGTCTCTGTTGCTACATCCTTTTTGTTTTATTCTAAACATTTATTGTGTAGTGAAATCTATTTCCTTGAAGCCTCTCCAGTTTGACTAAAGTTAATGAATATCACTTTCTGTTGTGATCCTCTAATACTTCTGCTTTGCCACAACTGTTGACATTTTCACTCAAACAGCTCTGCTGTTGTTTACCGCTTTTCAAATGTATCTGCAGATAACTTTGAGCTAAAGCTAAGCTCAGCGACAGTTGACTTTGAAGCCACGGCCAAGTCTTCAGGTTCCAGGTCTGACTTTGATTTAACCAGCAGAAGTTCTGGATCAAAGTCTTACACAAGCAAGAAGTGTGGGTTTCTCATTAGACTTCTCAAATGCAAAACCCCCACGTTTAGATAATGAAAAGAGTTTATCAATAATGTCAGAGTTGGTGAACGCAGTTTTATGCTGAGGAATCAACGGAAAAGACTTGTGAGCAAAAGAGACATTAAGGAACCAGCTGGATTTCAAGGGTAACTGGGAGAGCTATAACCACCCCTCACATGTCCCATATATCCTGCTCGCCTCATTTAGAAGACAGCTAGCTCGAGCCCATTCCTATATCTGATTTGGTCTCGCTTTTAATAGATCTAAGAAGTCTTTACTCATCAGTGATTCATGAAATTAATGTCTCTCTTTCCAGTGATTAATAACTAATGGGCTGAGAGAAGCCGAATTCATTAATTATGAAATGGGGAAAATGAGCTCTGCAAATATCACTTTTGATTGATGAGTTCTGGAATAGCAGCCAAGCCCACAGATGCAGCATAGATTATAAACCACTTATTATTATTATTATTATTATTATTATTACACTGCCTTACTTGAAAATCTTTCCCAGCTCTCTTGTGATATACATACCCCACCCGTAAGGATATATTTTACTGCTGAGCGTGCTCCATGTGAACATTTCAGCCTGCTAAATTTTTGTTTGAACTCTAAGATAAATACTGAGAAGTTATTGTAAACTTTTGCATCTATCCTCCTCACCCTTGCCGATACCATAACGGCTTTGCTCTTTCCCTCCGCAGCGTGCAACTGCAACCTCCACGCCCGCCGGTGTCGATTCAACATGGAGTTGTACAAGTTGTCAGGGAGGAAAAGTGGCGGAGTGTGCATGAATTGCCGCCATAATACCGCAGGACGCCACTGCCACTACTGCAAGGAGGGCTTCTACAGGGACATGGCCAGACCAATCACCCACAGGCGAGCCTGCAAAGGTGAGAATCTAACAAGAAGTAACAGTAGTGTTTATGAAGAACTTTATTACTAATTTTCCAGCGTGGCTTTCAAGATAGTCTGTGCTATTTGCTGCATGAGCTCATTCCTCCTCTATACTTCTATTAGGCTTCAGTCAAGCATACTGCAGAACTGTAGCACTCATTCATTTATCCTTGATTATGATCAGAGCTCGCTCTTCATCTGCTGTCAGAAATATAACACACAAGTGGTTTCCTGGGAAAGAATTACCAACCACAAGTCACGAGCACGGATCGCTTCGCGTTATGTCAGTCATTAATGGAGTAGAAAATATTTGTTTATAGATGTATGTGATTATATGAAAATGTCCCAGATTATTACTTTAAATGTAGTTTAGCTTTTTCTTTGGCGCTACTCGGTGCTAAATGTTTACAAAATGTTCAAACAAACACTGATTGAGCCAGTCTATGTGTTTGAGAAAGGGGAGAAGTAGTAATATTTTATGAGTGGAAACATATGTTGTCATGGCAACTCTTACTATATATGTATATATTTTTAAAAAAAAATCAGCATGTCTGATTTGCCATACCATAGCAGAGAGAAATGATTTGATACTATGCCTGGAGTCTTTCTGGCCACCCCACCGAATGTTTCCCCCCCTTGCCCACACACCACATAATATTTTCATGTAACCAATGCATGTCTCATGGAAAATTGATTTCATTATTTCACATTTGCAGTGATATTTTTCAGCCCCATATTATGCTGGAAATATTGCAAAAATAACACTTGTTTCCTGTATTTGATGCTCGAGAAAATACTCAAATAAATAAGAGTGTTTTGTAGCCGTATGATCCAGATGAAGGTTTAAAAAAAAAAATCACTTCCAGAACATAAAAAACGGCACTAGTGAAAGCTGCCAACACTCATAGCCATGAAGATCTCCTGGCTGTAATTTCACGGTGGGAATCTCTCACTGGCTTCTCGTCAGTTTTCCTTCTGCAGCCTGTAATATAACACCGAGAGGTTAGAAATGGCATGATATCAGGCCGCAGTTGCCCATGGTAGTTTCAATGAGATGTTGAGCCATTCATCGTGTAATGGCCAAAAAAATTACAAAAAAAAACCCCTCCACAGCGACTTGGTCACATACCTTAAAACTTAAGTCATTTGACCTGTTAATGCACTGAAACAATAACAGAAAGGGATCTGCTGCACCCCTGACAACAGATCCGCTCTGAGATGTGCATCCCCATGTGCAAATAGTTCTCTCATCTTTCATTTCCTGCAGTACCTGGAAGCATAATGTTTTCACACACATGCAGGCCACTTGACACTACAGTTTGTCTGCGATCCAAGTCAAGTGATCAGGTTATAAACAGTTTAACGCCCTCCTTTCCAAAAGCTCCAGATGTGACAGAATCCAAGCTTACATTTATAAAGCTGAGGGGGCCAGCTCCATGATTGATCCACAGCATTCTAGGAGATGTCATTTTCTGTTGCTCTCTTTTTCTTCATCTCTGTCTTGCCAGATGGTTTACAACCAGGACCTCTGATTGCACCCTGACTTATGACTTCCCTCACTCTGCCTTTCTACAAACCCATTAAACCTTTGTCTTCCTCTTATTCTCATACCAGCATCTATGATTTTCTTTCCAGCCCTTTGCTTTCCATGTCCTTTCTGCCTATGACCCAGTCGCGACAGAGGTCAGGGGTGTGGTATTGTTGAAGGGGGTGCGTGTCATGTCGTCATGTCTGAAATGGAGTTACTGCAATAAAATACAGGTGTGTTCAGAGGAGGAGGCGGGAATAGAGGGAGGCTGGTGGGCGGTACAGAATCTAGAAGGGGTTGTGTCTGTTACTGATCAAACTTGTCCAGGTCTAGTTGTCTGTTCACAGTGTGAGGCGTATTTGAAGGAATCTAAACACAAAACCGGGATTCCGGAAGTAACGTGGATATTTTAAGTCCGCAAATCTGAAAGCTACTTTCCATGACAGCAGACAAAGGCAGTCTTCCATGTGTCCTCACCCCCAACTGCTCTCAGCGGATGGCTGCCCAGCCGTGAGCCTGGTTGTTCTGGAAGTTTCTTCTAGTTAAAAGGGAGTTTTTCCTTCCCACGGTCGCCAAGCGCTTGCTCATAGGGGATCATCTGATTGGTTGGGGTTTAAGTATTAAATGCCTTGGTGTGACTGTTTTTGTGATTTGGCGCTACATAAATAAAACTGAAATGAACAAAGTGCAGTCACCACAAGTTGAGTAACACAGTCACTTAAAATCACTTGAATCGCTTAAAACAAGCAGACGCCTGAGAAAGGGACTGCAAATCCCAATGCAGCGCCTGTCACATCTGCAGTCACATGGGCTTGAAAAGCCATCAACATCTGAGGACATTTTTACAGCTTTCTAACTGGCTCTAGCCTCTGCACATAAAACCTCAGAAAAACAGTTTGAGGAAGGAAGGCTGGGGGTTACACTGACACGACCAAACCCCCGTCTCCATCCTGCCTGCCCCTGACAGCTCGTTCAGATCTGGCCGTTGCTGGTTATTTACTGAACAATGTGAACACTGACAGTAACCTCTGAACTCCAAACAGTCCGAGTCTCAATTAGAAGGGAAGCGAGGGGGTCGCTGTGCATCATTCGCAGTTTGTTTATACTGACCAGCCCTGTCAATGTTAAGTGATCAGTGCAGAGACAATAGCTTGTAAAACTCCTTGCCTTTGTCACATGTCTCTGCAGGAACAACTTGGGATTATGACATGGGTCATCTCACATGTGCTTTTCCTTTGGTCTGAAAGCGTTTTTCATTACTTGAAAAACGGTAAAAGTTGACGGACCAATGCACTACATCATTTGAGTTTTATTGAGAATGCAAACTTCAGGAAAATCCCAAATAGTTCCTAGCCAGAAGCAGAAGAAACTCTGGCTCTAAATGAAGGTGGAGGTTGCTGGCACAGCATAAAAAGGCGTCTGGTGACCCCCGGCACCCGAATTAGTCCTGCATCACACCCTGCCACATGCTTAACGTTCTTGTCCTTAGTTCAGTCGCACTTTACCAAGTGCCTTCAAAGCTCAAGTTTCCCATTGGAGTCTGCGTGACTCAAATAATGGGGATTTTGCACTCATGATGAAGCATCAGATTTACATCTCGGCTTCAAACAGTGTGCAGCCACTTTGACACCTGTAGACTTCGTTGGCCGACACGATTCTAAAGATCTGAGCTGAGCTAATCTCCTCACACCCTGCCGTCATGCAGACACTCTTGGGTCAGTTTCAGCCATTTAAACGCTCGCGTTGCCGATCCAACAGGTGGTAGGGTCCTCTCCTTTGTTGTAGCAACTTGAAAAAAAAAATCTCCGGGCGCAAATAAACACATTAACAGTTTCGTCAGGTGGTGGGAAGAAACCGTGGCATGTTAGCAGCTGCCTTTCCCTGGCAAGCTCTGTAGAAGTCTGCTGGATTACAGGGTTTTTCCCTTGTATGAAATATTGGTCCTTCTTGCCTTTTCTTGATAAGCCTGGACAATTACAACTATTGTGTTACAGCTGAGGCCCTTGCAAGTTTGCTTTTGCCATTTTTTTTTTTTGTTAGTCTGAGAGTATTTTTCCAAAGTGTCAGACTGAAAACAAAGGGGGAAAAGGCAGAGTTTTCCTACTGGGTTTCATAGCTTATTGTGTTTTTGCTCTCACACTTCCTGTGTTCTTGTAAGCTTTTGTCAAATGGCTTCAACCAACACTCTAGGCCTCATATGATTAACTGCTCTTCATACATCCAAAAAAACTAATGAGTTAAAGTGGCTTAAATAAATCACCTAGAAAAGCAAACCTCAAAAGTCTTGCCAAAGTGAGGTGACCGGAGCATTGCCTGTTGGTGTTGGCATTTGGTGGGCATCCACGGAACTTTTGGGAAGTGATGAAACAGCAGAGCGTGTGTTACCAGGCAGGCACTAGACTGCACGCAGCATTTAGGAAAGAGGAAACGAGCATTTGGTCTGCATCTCCTGCTGAAACTGATGCACTACATGCATCGTTCACCCGATCTAATAGCTTTCTGTGCTTTTAGTTGTCCTGTAATGTCCTCCACACAAATATCTTATTTCTCATCAGTTTTCTGGATATGCATGCAGTTTTTCACAATGCAGTAGTTTGAGAAACCTAGGTATAAAGGCTAAAGACATGTGGGCCCCCAAACATTAATCAATAATATTTACTGAATGTCAGAGGAGTTTTGTCTTTGCATTTTGCAGCAGGTTTGATGAACTGGTATCTCTTATCTCTTTTATCTGCCCCACCACCCTCCATCCCTCTTTGACATCTTCCCCCAACCCCCCCACGCCAGCTTGTGACTGCCACCCTGTGGGTGCAGCAGGCAAGACATGCAACCAGACCACAGGCCAGTGCCCCTGCAAGGACGGTGTCACGGGCATCACCTGCAACCGCTGCGCCAAAGGGTACCAGCAGAGCCGCTCGCCCGTGGCCCCCTGCATCAGTGAGTAACTCAGACACACATCCACACGCAGCTACCAGTTACTGCATGCGACACTGATCAGATCGTCATGGTTAATTTTATCAGCTTGCCTGTGACTATTAAAATCTGACAAAAAGCATGATCCATAGCTAAAGGCAGCACATACCCAAACCATGAAGAATACAGAACATAAGTGAAAACATACTTTTATGTAGTCTTTCTGGCTATCGGACAGACATAACCCAAGTGTGTGTGTGTGTGTGTGTGTGTGCGCGCCTGCCGTATTTGGATATATTTGTGAGGACCAAAAATTGGAATGCTACACTAGTTGTGGGGACAACAGTCAGTTATGGGGACAAAATGCCTGTCCCCACAAGTTTGAAGGCATTTTAAGTTTAGGCTAAGGGTTATGGTTAAGGCATTAATTTTTGAAAGGTTAGGGAAAGCCTTTTGTCAGTCAATCAGATGTCCTCACTAGGGGTGGTGGGTGGGTGTGTGTGTGTGTGTGTGTGTGTTTACTTGCATAGCCACTGAAACTGCAATGACATTTCATGGAGAAGAGCCCAAAACGTGAGCCAAACGAGCGCCCCAGCATAAAGTTGGGTTAAATTGAAACGCGATCCATGCTAAAGGAACAAAGAGGCATACTGTTGTTAACGCTTGTGTTGTTATTCTACTTTCTCTTAACTATGTACCGTGTGTGTGTGTGTGTGTGTGTGTGCTCTAGTAGCTGTGTTTAGGTTTTTGATTTCCTGTAACAAGCGAATGTGAGTCCACGCAAGTTACGAATTTTGCCCGTGGGCCCAGCACGTGTCTGTGCCACATTGCAAACAATCAAAAGATAGCCTCCACCAAATCAAGTCATGCCGTGCCGCCCAGTGCCGTGTCCAGCTCTGCCACACGGTGCCATGTTGTTCCTCTTGCATGCAGCTCCGAAGCAGATGGCAGATAGGCAAGAAGGAGAAGACGACCGTGGTCATGGATGGCAGACTATACTCGTTTAAGTGCCATTAGGTGAACTGTCTATCGAGAACAAGAGGAATAGTGGGTGTGGGCATGCTTAAGCTATGCACATTATGACAACCCGGTCTGCCATTATAGCCTGATGTCAGCATATTACCCCTGGAGGATACTGTATCCCAAGACAGAAGACAAATCCATTAAGAAGCCAATTAGTATGATGGCAGCAACCCACATCTGAATGATCCTTTCATCATCTGTCTATCTTCACAAGATGTGGCCATCGGGGCAAAGGGTCTCAAAGTGGCTTCTAGCAGCTGTGCCTGCCTTCACAAAGCTCCGTGCCCTTGTTTGTTTTTGTTGGCAGGGTGTCCATAATTTTAGAGAGACAACTGCTGCTTTTGCCTCAAAACAGCTTTCCAAGAAACCCCCCTCTACCTCCTGCCAACACACTCTCACACACTCGGTCCAACCCCTGAACCTCCAAATCCAATCAAAAGCAGATCCTCTGGGTGGATGCTAAGCCGGCGTTCCAGTAATTCTGTTTACGGTAAAAGGAGAGGGGCCTGTTGTTAGCATTAGCATTTGTATTGGAAAGATGCATACGATTAAAGGAGAAGTCCTGGAGGAATTCTACAAGGCACTTTTTTTTTCTTTTTTTTTTTTATTGTAGCCAGCGGGCACAACAAGGGAGGGCTGTATCTGTCTCAAGATGATCCCACCAAAATTGCCCCTTTGCCATCCGTCCATCTGTCTATACATGCTTGCATGGAGATTGCACAGCAGTGTTAACCCCACATCTGTTAGAGGAGGATGAAACTAATCTAGTGTAGCCACCTTGCCATTGTGTGCCTACTTTCAATGCGCTGACTCCTCCAAACTGGTTTATGGTGTGATTCTTGTGAAGCATCAACTAACATTGGACTTTGATTATTTCTTCCAGTTAGTCTGAAGATCTCCTTAAAAAAAGACACTGAAACCACTGCATTAGTCTATGGCATGTATGGTTTATTTGAACCGGTCTTCCCTCTCACCACCAATAAGTATTCCTGTCAGTCTCTTAGCGTTTATCTAGCACGTCTGTCTGGAAAGCCCTGTGTATTTTCATAAGTTTGACATATAGTACACCACAAACCTACTGTGTGGCAACCCTGATTCTTCTTCTTTTCCCCAGTGACCTCAAATAGCACTTTTTACTTCTCAGTACTATTTCCCATCCCACCCCCATATTTGGGATCACATTTAATGAATTTGGACACACTTTGTTTCTTTGACCACACGTGCTCTCATTGTAGGCCGGCAGCCAGATCATTTCAGACATACTTGAAAGGTGTGGACTTAGAATTAATCGTTGAAATAACTTTGTGTTTTTTGTGCGTGTTTCAGAAATCCCTGTGGTCAACCCCACAGCTGTCGTGAGCAGCACAGAGGAACCAGCAGGTTAGTATATACTCCTTGCACCTTGAGCACCCCTACTTTATGAGAGGAACAAAAACATAAAATACGTGTCCAGAAATATTAAATATTAAGGCGTGGAATAAATATTAATAGAGGGCGGGTTCGCTCATTTGAAGTTCTCAGGGAAACGATTGCACTGGGGACGGAAAAATTTTACATTGTCTTAAAAACCTGTGTCCTTGGCATAGTTTCCCCAACCGCTAGCCTCAAGTTAGTGGAGACATGCTGTGCTCAGACTTTAAGTGCAGCTTTAAGCCAAGGGCAGCAGATAGGCAGCTGAGGTGATTAGTTACAGTTTAGTTGGGAGATATAGTGGAAGGGGAACGTTGCGAGGCATGAAAAGAGTGTTGGCAAGTAACTGGGGGAAATTTGTTCAGTCACTCCCTCTAACACTCTAGGCTTCGGTCAATTACCCTGTCCGCATTTTTCATTCTACAACTGTTTGATTTAAATGGTGGTGTTGATTTGGAAACGTTGATTCATTAGTGGATTTATATCATATATTATCACTGAAGCGGCAGACTGTGCACCCCTCCCAAATTTGCTATTACTGCCATTCTTTTAAAGCAATAATGGTTTTCTTGTTTTTATGTCCTTTCTCTTCTAAAAATAATACGTATTTTCAGAACCCTCACAATAAATTTTCAAACTTTAACTTTCGACTTAACTTTCGAGGTTGCATGCTATAAATTTTGAGGACTCGATTCATAGAGTTCAAGATGTTTATAATGGCTCTTACCGAGGTCCACATAAAAGGCCAAAATTGGTTGTACACTCCAAATAAAAACCTCCAGATATGTCTAATAGTGTGAAATGAAAAACATTCTTCTGGTGGAGAATTCGTGAAGTTTCTGAGGTAAATGTTGTAAACTAGCTAAGCTAAGCTTACCGGTTACTGGTTAGCTTAGCAAAAATCCTGGACAAAAAATGGGGGAAAGAAATGGTTTATTACAACAGATTAATCGTGGTAGGTTAATTATTGAGATTTAGAGCAGATAATTGCATAAAATAAATCTAATTGGGATCAAACTTTACCTAAATGATTTCAATTAGGTGAGGTCAATTCTAGCCAAAGATCTTTCATCTCATTTTTTTTTTACCATGACTATGTTTACAAGTGAGTGTAGTTAAAGTAAACATAAAATCAGGTCTTAAAATTATGTAAATACAACCTCAGAAGAACAACACATGATTATACTGTGTTATTATTTTTAAAAATACTAACGCAAAACGCAGAATTGTGTGTGTGAAAGTACACCCTCAGTGTGAGCATCTCTATAAAAGCTGAAGTTCGGACAGTTTGCAGGTCTGGAGTATTCAATTGTGTATTAGCACAACATTAAAGAAGAAATGCATCAGAAATCATCTCAGAGAAGCAACTGATGCTGCTCACCAATCTGCGAAGTTGGAACTAGTAATTTGAAATCCATCATTGTAGAGTGAGAAAGATTATTCCACTGGTGAAAAACATTCAAAACCGTTCGCAGGAGTGGATGTCCCAGCAAATTCACCCCAAAGTCAAGACCGTACAATGTTCAGAGAAACTTCAAAACAGAAAGGCTACACCTCAGACTGCACGTGTCTCAGCATGGTCAATGTTAAGTTCATGATAATACGATTAGAAAAAGACTGGACAAGTATGGATTGTTTGGAAGTGTCTCCAGGAGGAAACTTCTTCTCTTTCGAACATGGCAGCACAACTCAAGTTTGCAAAATTGCATCTGGAAAAAGTTCCTTTGGAAACATTGGAACTGACAGAGGGTGTACTTTCTTTTTACTGTGACTGTAAGTCCTGAATTTAATTTTCCTTAGACTCGCAGCTTCTTCACTCATTTACAACTTGTTCTGTATAACCTTTTACCGCCATCGCTTGGGTCTTTTTAACCCAAAGAAGCAGAGTCCAGCCCTTTCTTGTTTACTACTTTCCTGGGAAAATGTTACAGGGTCTAAGAACACAAGAGTCATTGATTGTCAATTCACCTCAGCTTCTACCAAACACACCAGCGCATTTCCCCCATCTTTCTCCTTCCTAAACTACCACAGAAAGAGCTTCACCATCAGAAACCTAAGGCCCCCAAAATCTTTTTGTGTAAGGGGCGTTGGATGCAATTTGTCCTTGTCATGGCACAGTGAAAGGGGCTCAAGGGAAAGAGGGCATCGAGAGTCTTGGAGCCAATTGTGCATGTTTTCAGCAGGCTGGCCTTCTGGGTCATTGGGCAATTCACCGAGAGCTTTTCCAGGTGATCACCCAGCAGTAAGTAGTGCTTCATGGGAAAGAGCATACTGTCACCCCAGCCAGAGTTTCAAGAGCAGGTTAGCCACTGTATACAAAAACAGAGACCTACATACACAAAACAGCTGTGATCTAATGAAATCCATGCTCATCTCATGCACATGCACGCCTGTCACAGCTGCATGCATACTTACATGAATACCACATACTCTGTACTAATGAGAAAGCCCTTAAGTAGACTGTGATATTCTGCAACATTTATTTAAAGTAAAACGTACACACATGCACTACACACCTTTGCACTCATCCACACCTTCACTCATTGCAGCGTATTGAAAGTCATCTTCTTTCTCCTTTTGTGTTTCCCTTTCTTTCCTCTCTCTGGCTAATAAAATCTCCAGCACTCTGATATACAGCCAACCTTTCTGGACGTTTTAATGAGCTCCTCGGTCCCCCGTTTCTTCCTCCTCCTCAGTTCTTCCACAAAAAAAAATGAACAATACAACACCCTTTCACTCATACAACATTCCCAAAAGGGTCATTTTTCTCTTTTTTTTGTTTTTAAACTTGGACATTTCATGTCCAGCGATTTTTATTTGGTTTTCTTTGGAAAGCAAAAACGGCTAAACAGTTATTCCTCTTGAAGGGAACGAGAGATACCAGTCCACTTACCAGCGTGTGGTTTGTTGGTGGTCAACTTTTCACGTCCCTTCATTAGAAGTGACTAAAACTCTGTTTCTTTTGCAATTTCAGTTCACCATTTTCATTTTTTCAAAACTTATTTTGTATCCTTCTCATAGATTTTTATTTTTATGCTGTGGATCCAAAATTCAATGAGTCACAGAATCCAGCAGCCTGTGTCAACCACAGATGAGTCTTACTAACAAACAACAGCATTTTTCTTTCTGCAGCTCCATTGGCAGAAATTGAGTTAAAAGCACAGTGAATGCTTTAAAGTTTAAAAGGGATTCTTATCATTGTTTTAGCGCACTTCATCTGTTTAAGCCTATTTAATCATGCTTATCTTCTCAGTTTCCCTTTCCTTTTGCTCTTTGTTCTTGCAAAACATGTTTTCCGATCTCCGAGAATACCGACATGGCAAAACAAATATTTCAGGACTACAAGAAAATAAACCACGCGATGTAATTACATGCATATGCTTTCAAATCTTTGAAGGGTTCTATAACACAACTGAGAGTTTCTTTCCGACCTTTCTGGTCCATTGAAACTGCTGTACACAGCTATTCCTCAACATAAAATTACAAACAAATTCAAAAAAAAAAAAAAAAATATTATTATATATATATATACTATATATTATTATATTATTATATAATATATATATATATATATATATATATATACATATTATATATATATATATATATTATATGATGATTATTTATATTATATATATATATATATATATAAAAATTAAAAATATTTTTTTTTTTTTTTTTTTTTTTTTTTTTTTGTTAAATTTGATTCAGGTTGCAGGTAAGCTGTGAGTCATATAATAGAAGGAAAGGTGGCTGCTCAGGTTCCAAATGCTGAAATCAAGCGCCAAAGTGTTTCCAGCGCCACATGCCTGCTCTTTGGCCAAAATCTGCATGAGGGAAAAGCTGGATTGAAAAAGATGCTGGAGGACACAGAACAACTAAACCAAACCGTGGCTGGCCTTAAAGTCGGTCAGAAAAAGATCAGAGAATGGTCATCCAGCCTAGAAATCAATTTTGACTGTCATATTCATAAACGTAAAAACCACATCATTTGCAACCCCACCTACTAATGGTCAGCAGAGGTCATTGGTCCAGTGTGTGGTCTTAGTTGTCACTCTGGCAGCCAAGGCCTATCCACATTCATCCAACCATGACCTGCTTCCACCACGCTCTGCCTTTTCTCAAGGCCCCGGAGAACATGTCAAACTGAACACTTTTACTCCTCTGGTATGTTTCACTTGCCTCCCAGCACTGGCTGTTGCAGGGATTTGGATGTGTGATTTGTCAGAAGCTGTTTTTTAGCACACAAAAACCACACAAAGCCCAACTATTATTTAGCGCTGCTCCAGTTTTCCTTTCAGCCTTTGGCAACATCAGTCAGTTTGTAAAGGCAAGTATAAGTTTACTCAGTTATTATAGAAAAAAAATACACATGTATTTAAAAAGTAGATCATGCTTTGATGTGTATTTTTTGTATTTATAGAAAAATGTGAAATATATTAATGGGACGGGGAGTCAAAGTTGGCCTTTCTATATAGAAATCAGCACATATCACAATGTTATGTTTATATTTGCTTGATCACTGCGGTTTATATTTTAAAGTGATGTGACACTAATTATGCATTACAACGTGTTAGTAAGACTGAGCAAATATGAAAGATTCATGTGCTCCTTTGGTACCTTTTTCACCAATACTGTGACTGTGCCTAGCCTATAAATGCTTAAACACATTTCCACCACAAAAAAGAAGACTGATGACTTGTGTCAAAAATCTGTCCCAAAGGGACAAGTGACTGGCATTTGGAGTCTGCAGATTCTGTTGACCATGATATTCTTCCCAAGGAAATCACACCGACTTCTGTTAGTAACACTATGCAACATTTGGTTCCCAAATCTGTCAAAATGAAGGATGGTTTTCAGTGCACCAAGAGAGAACTGGCCCCAGCCACATGTTGGTGGAAAACAAGCACTGGAGTCACTGCCTGCATTTCAGGTGTGAACTTGGTTGTCCTTATTTTTGCAGATTGTGAGTCCTACTGTAAACCAGTGAAAGGCAACTTGAAGATCAACATGAAGAAATACTGCAAGAAGGATTATGGTAAGAGAGCAGAATTCCTTTCCATACCATTAATTAAAAAGCGTAAAGAGTTTAGAGTGTTCACCTGAGGGTGTTTCTTGCAAATGTGTTCCCAGCTGTCCAAGTGAACGTGCTGGACATGGAGACGGTGGGTGACTGGGCCAAGTTCTCCGTTAGCGTGGTGGCTGTGTACAAGAGCCGGGGCGAACCCTTGAAGAGAGGTGACAACATCTTGTGGGTACACATGAAGGACCTTGCCTGCAAGTGTCCCAAAATCCAGATGAGCAAACGATTTTTGGTGATGGGTGGCGCTGAAGGTGGAACGGGCCCAGGAGCAGGTCCAGGAGTCGGGCCCGGAGGTGGAGCCAGCAGTCCAGGGGCGGAGCGCATAGGCTTGGTGGCCGATAAGAACAGCCTGGTGATCCAGTGGAGAGACGTTTGGACGAGACGTCTGAGGAAGTTCCAGCGCAAGGAGAAGAAGGGGAAGTGCAGCAAAGCATGATTGGGAAAAGCAGCGTCCATCCCTACCTCTCCCTCCACAGCACTCAATCACAAATCCTGACTCTTGACTTCTCTTATCCCCGGCCACTCGAGTCCTTTCTTCTCCTCCATTGTGGGAACGCTGCACATTACAAAGACTGCATGTACCCTGCCTGTTTTAAGGACCACGTTTTGTGTATATTGTATAATTATTTTCATTTTTATTTTTCAAGTTTTTTTCATTGTAAGGCCACTTGTCTATTTGTCCGATTGGTTTGCCTTAAAAAGGGACCATTAAAAAGGGTGTGAAGTGTAGACAAAAGCAGGCGCCATTTCCCCCCCCCTCGACGACGGCAACTGAACTGTCCAACCCCCTGCTAAAAAATACAACCCCCTGACCTCCACCTGTCAAAACTGCCTGTCTTCTGCCATTTTAAGGTATTTCCATGCAAGACTACCAATGCTCACCCCTCACTGTTCTCTGAGGATTTTATTATAGAGTGTTTATCACTTCACAGACTGATATCAGCAACAAGACAAGCTACAGATCTCCAGCTTGGCCACCTCACACTGATGACCTTCAGAATTTTCCTGTCAAAACAGGCCTAATTTCTCAAGGTCTTTGCAGTATCTTCTTTGGACTATAGGACTTCTATGTCCTACGAGGAACCAAGGGCTCCCTTTGCAGGGACATTTTCCACAGCAAACCTCAGTCACACCACCACTGCTGCTGCCGCCACTACCACACAGCCCTCACAGAATAAACTGCTCACGTAGGCTCTTATACGGTCAAGTACCCGATGTCACTGCTCATACTAGAGTTTGTATATCTTGTGTGGCTACTTTGCTATCTCAGCCATCCACATCCTTATTTGAGATGTATCCCTTTGTTGCATTGGGCACGAGTGAGTCACATCGCAGGCCTCTTCACCACTGTTCCCTCTTATGAGTGGTTTATAAAGTCACCATCATGACTCATGGCCTGTCACTTTGTGGAAGATGAAGCGGCGCAGACCGAATTTCAGAACAAAACCAACTTTTCCATTGAGACTTTTGCGCTTCGTGGATATTCTCTTTGCTGGGTACAGCTCTTCCAGACGTTGCTGTGTGGCCAGCGTCACTTATGTCTTTAAAAATGGCCGAACATTTCATTGCATTGACTGATGAAGACTGGCAGGCTTTTGTTTGCCACAACAAGAGATTGAAACAAGAGTTCCTTTTTCATGCAGTAAAAACACAAAAACAAGTTGGATAAAGAAAAGACGTAGCTGTGTTGTTGGGTTTTTTCGTTTTTGTTTTTCATTCCTTGCTTAGTATTTCGACAAAATGAATGAGCCTGGAACATTTTTAGTGCTCACTGATTGTATTATGACATGAGAGGATCATATTTCAGTCCTCATGTGCTTTGTTAAGTTTGCATGTTTGTGGGGTTTTTTCTTTTTTCTTTTGCTGGTCCATCAAATCCTTACAGGGAGCAGAGAGAGGTAAACTAATATGAGCATGAAGATCCAAAGGAAAACTTCCCAGGTCATCTTCCACCACTTGCCCACCCCAAATGCATAACCCTGTCATGCCTTGCCAAATAAGAGTAGTCAGTTTTTAAATTCAATTAAGAGACTATGAAAGTCAGGACCAACGAATTAACCGCAGAGAGACCCATCTGGTTGCTCTCAAGCTTTTTATCTGCCTTTTGCAGTTATTTCATTTTGTAAACGACTTTACAATTTATTTAAATAGAGTACAATATAAACACACAGTTTAGTTGAGGGGCACATCAAGCTCACATAGCATTGAGTGTTCCTACAGGCATCTCATGCTAGCTTGTGGTTACGCTCCTTTGGCTTTGGCGGCATGTTTGGTTTGTCATTCCTCCAAAAGTGTCTCTCCTCTGCTCTCGTCTGTGTGTCAGCCACAAACTCCCTCCCTCCCCCCCTTCCCCCCCTCCCCGAATTCTCCTTTTAACCCATTTTGCATGTTGTGTATTTAGTGTTTTAGATAAGTGAAAGCACAGAAAGAGGCTTCCAGACTCCTCTGTGGTGTATAGTACTGCACTGTAGTTCTTGTTTTCTGAGAATGTAAATCAATCTGCAAAGAAAAGACACACAGGTAAATGGTCTGATTGTGTTTATGAAGTGTTATTAGAACTGAGGACGTCTAATGGCATGATATTTGATGCTGTTATGAACTCTGAACATGACTAGATGTTGTTCAAAAGATTGTGGCTCTTCATGCTTTTCTCTCTCATCAAGACATTTTTTGTTTTTGTTTTTTATAATACAATGCAAAAACAAGTTGTAACCAAAATGAATTATAAGCCACCACGACTTCTGATGTGTGACAAAAAAAAAAAAGTTTTCTATGGCACTATGCTGAGGGCACAAATCCCACTGATGGAATTTCTCAAAAATGCAGAAGCAGTCCTTTATTTATGTGTCGGCTGTCCTCTGTGACCTGTCAGACAGGTGGTGTTACAGTAGCACCCGTGTCCGCATCTTGGTATGCAAGTCTGGCATTACAATGAATTGTCAAAATATTTGCCTCAGCTCCTTGAGCACCCAACACCCTCGTGAAGGAATTCCACAAAATTCTTTCTCTTCTAGTTTTCACGTGATATGTCACACTATAGGAACGCTTCCAAAAGAGGCTTTTTCCGATGCCTGTTGATCATTTTTGCCAGTTCAGTTTACCCAAAATGCTGGATAGTTCTTAAACTATACACATGTATAACTATCCTGCCAGCAAATCTTTAGAGTGTGGCACTGCATGGGAACACATTTAGCCTAAGGGCCCCGTTGTACCAGCCAAGCAGATAAAAGTGTACAATCATGTCAGGTTTTACTGCTCACATGGTCACAGATCAGACGGACATGTTGTAAGATGACTTGGTGGAGAAAAAAGTATAGATGGAGGCGATTTCCCTTATATCAGTGCCGATGCAGAGGTTTTTTTTCAGAGTAGCGACACCTATTGTTCCGAGGAGTACTGTAGCAGCTTCCTGCACCATAAATGTTTAGGACTATGATGATGACGTTGCCTGTGGCGCACAAACAGACCAGCGTGAAAGGTATACTGAGGCATCCTGTCATGCAGCTACTGCGGACAGATCACACCAATCCACCACAGCAACTGATCTTGTCAATAGCAACAGGAAATAAGTTTCACTATAATGATGTTAAACAAAATGTTACTGGTGTGTCACTTCTGCCATAAAACATCTGAAGCCAGCAGGTGATGGATCACCATGTGTTAGCTAGCTAGTTTTAGCTAAAGCGCCCTTGCCTTTGTTTTAATAGTTGAGAGCTTTTTTTACCTTCAAATCTAAAAGAGCAAATCAAATCAAGATTAAGCATGTTTGTGCTTTTGCACTGCAGTGTAAAGTGAAGGAATCTCCACTAAATGCACTATATGGACAAAAGTAGTTTACCTCACACCTACAAGAGCTGCTCAGGTACCAAAATCCATGTCGTGAAGCTCCTGGCACACAGCAAACAAGGTTTGCAAATCTGCAGTTACTGAGTCACAGGTGCACCTTAGCGGTTGCTCTGTAACCTCACATGGCCTTCCACTTTGTCACTATTTCTAAACACACCCATGTTTGCGATAATACCACCGATAGCTTATCGTAGAATATCCAGAAGAGGGGAAAAATTACAAATGTGATGGATTTCAATGAGCTCTTTAGAACTGATCTTTCACAAATGCTTGTAAACGCAGACTGCGTTGCTAGGTGCTTCATTTTATACACCTGTGGCAATGGGTTTGAAAACACTTGAATTCATAAAAAGGTGTGGTCCAAAATTTTTTATCCATGTAGAGTTCAAGTAAAACATCACCAGAATGGAGCGGGATCACATCTTTGTGTGAATCCTTTAAAAGGGTGATCTAAACATTCATGGATTGTAAAAGATGAAATATTTACACGGTTCTCCTGCAGTTCTGTGGAGGGTCTGGTATGTAAGCTGGAAAAAAAATACAGTTTTCCCTGCAGGCCTCTGCACAGGTCACATGATCGAAAACTACGAACCAGCTTTTCCTTTTCTTAAGTGCCCACCCTGAACATCGAAATCAAAATAGGTTAAAATTGGCCAGATTTTGTTTGAGTGGGGGGTTAGGGGGTGGAAGTGTAGCGCTTGTGAAAGCTATTTTGTGAGCCTCATAGAGAGAGCCATCCTGTTGTTTTATATTAACAAGCCCAGCAGCTTGGCAGTGGAACTGAGACCATAACTGCTTCACTTTGCTTCCTCCCCCCTGTGTATTTTTTTCCACAGCGTTTATAGCATTCACAGGTGTGTGAGTTTGTGTGTTTAATTAACCTTCCCGAGCAAACAAGTGACACACACAACTTGCAGAGAGGTGAGAGGAAACTTATTTGAAGTTTAGCGTTTTTGGGTGGGGGTAGGGTTCTGAAACGGTCCGTGATGAAGAATTATATCACACAAATTTTCTTGGTCAACTTCCCATTGTTTGTTTTTTGACTATTATTTTTTTTTTCTTTGTGCACATGCGTCATTTTCATCCACACATTTGGCTCGTCCTGATGCATTTTTTTTTTAAATATTGTAAATATGTACTGAACTGCCTCTGCCGTTTATGTTGTCTTTTGTAAAGCATCACTTAGCCTGGGATGACTCACATTTATGGATGTACAAACCAGATGATTATGGATGTTATATGGATGTAGAAACCAGGAACATATGCTTTCGTGATCACGACCAGAAGACGTGGTTCAGATATTACACAGAATGTATTCCTTTCGGTTTTATGTTGTTTCCAGACGACAACAACCACCCAATTGTAAATGACTTTGAGGTGAATGGAGTAAAAACGTGACTGACTGGACCCTCTGCTTTTCCCATAGAGGTACAGATGGAAACTGACACACAAAGCCCACCATGTCCTGTTACATTAATGTCCTGGGAATAATGGTTCACTCACACAAAAATTGTCCACCTACCTTTCTGGGGGGAACAAAGGGATCCTGCCCTCAGTCTAGCACTGCTTTTCACTTCTGTTATATCGAAGTCTTCCTTGTACATTTTCCTCTGAGGCAATGAACCACTGACTTTTTAATCTAAATGGTAAAAAATAAATTATTAGGTAATGAACTGTGCGTTGTGTTGATCATCTGTCTCTTTAATAGCGGCTATTAGCCTTAGCTGCAGAAATTATATAAAATTGATCATGTGTGTTTTCTCCATTGCTCAAACACAGTTGGCACTGCTCTGGTATGTTTCCACTCACGGGGGCTAGATGGGGGTTTGAAGAAGAGAATATTGGGTAGAGCGGCTCCCCTCCTCTATGAACGCTGCAAGAGCTAAAGCTCTGTAAATAAACAATGAGGCGCACACACACAGTATATACACACAATTTAATGCGTTCCTCACCTTGGAGGAAACCCAACTCCAGAGAAAGGCTCAAAGCAGGAATCTCCTTACTCTCTTTCTCTTTTTTTATTTCACCTACAGTGTCCTCTCTTCCTCATCTCCCCACCCACTAACCAAACAGGCCAGCTCCATCCATTCTCCTGAAGGTAAATTACAGGAAAGCAGTCATTTATCATCACTCTCCCCAGGCATGGCCACTGAGGCTCTGAGAATAGAGGTTTCACAGACTGGACACACACACACACTGAAACATATCTTGAATCTCTGAATCAAGCATCTCTCTCCTGGACATCCTGGCCTTCTATCAAGTTGCTGTTTATATTGAGTTCAGTTAACTATACACCAAAGAAAAACCGTCTACAACCAGAACAAAACTGGAAACCCTTTGTCCTGTAGGACATTCAGTCATTAAAGATGATCAGCATTTACACGAGCAAAATATTGCCTCAGTTCTTCGCTTCTTCTTATGAATAACAAACTAAAGATGTTAAGATGTTGTTTTACAAGGCACCAAGCTTTCTCCTTTTTTGTAATCTCTGTGACAACCAATAACCGAGTCCCAGACCCCAAACCCACTTTGATGTCACCCTTTATTTTGTAAAGTTCATTTGAAGCCTCAGCTTTAGCTTTTTGGCTACCATTAACTATTAACATATTGGGATGGCAGGGTGGAGTCCTAAGCTATCAATAAGTCCCAGTTACCTTGGTTAGCAAGGTTTATCCATAGACTATACTAGTGAATCACAAAGATAGGGGAATTCTGTCACATACAGTTTCCTTTTTCTTTCTTCAGTTAGAAACAACATTGAAAATTTGACATTTGAGTCTTCATAACAACATTTTACAAACTGCTGGTTGCTACATCGATTTTTAGCGATTAATCTTTGAGTGGTCGAAACTTTTAAGGCCTCAGTCACACAGGCTTAGAGACCAGCTGGTGGGAATAATGTGTGTTCCTTTACTGGTTGTTGAGAATCGCTGGGTGAACATCAGTCGAAAAGAGGGTGCAGCAAAGGTCCTTGTTTTTGCTTTGGTCACTAGCAGATTGCTGCAATTGCCTGTAGTTTCCATTGAAGATGACAACATGATAACACTTGGAAATTACTAGTTAAGTGGCTAAAAGCTGTGATTCACAGAGGCAGCCAACATGTTTCAAAGGGTGGAAGTTTGACTTTGAAGGCAAACATTCTCCGTTAATGTTTTGTGTTGCGCTTTTAACAGTTTCACTACAGCTCGGAGAGCAACGGTTAAATGTTTTTTTGACAAGTCAGTGTATTGCAATCTAGGGGAACCATGAAAATCTGTTAGCAAGCAAAGAAAATGCTGGTATGTTTTTGGTGCAACGTGGCATACCTCTTTGTAACCAATTTCAGATTGCGACTGCCAGCAGTCTCCAGCGATACACCTCACTGATCAGCCTGCGTGGCTGGGGATTTGGCAACTGATTTCACAGCAACTGCCACCAACCTCAAGCAACCGCTTGGCGACCAGCTGGGAAATGCACATATTTCCCTTACCACTGGTGGTTGCCAAACCTCATTGAAAGGTTTAGGGTTTTCAAGGTTTACCCATAAAGATGATCATGGCGATGTTGGTTTATAAAGTCCTGTTATGAAGACTCAAATCTAATCAGAAATAGCCACTTGGACGAAAGATTATGGGGTGCTAATTTATTAGCTATTGCTTGGTTAGAAAGGTGTATCCAGGGTAAGTGTGTCACACATGGGATAATTGCTACCACAAATATGGGACTAGGTTCAGCTGACTGGTCAGAATTAGATGATAACGGCAGCCCTCATTCAGAATGGCCAAACTCCTAATAATTTATAAGCTTCTAATACAATTCAAACAAGTCAGTTAATCACAAAATCCTTCCCAGTACAGCTTCTTTTATTGTAGAGACCAAAACCACTTCTTTTTCTTGTGGGGACTGATTTTTGGAGTCAGCTTCAAGTACCCACTTGAGCAACTCCACTTTTTGGTGTTGACTTTAGTTTTCAGGCCTGCAAGTGGCACTTGATCCAAAAAGCCCCTTAACAAGCTTCTTCTACACTATGTTTTCTAAAGTAATGCAGCCCACCTACTGTTTGTCTCTATAAAGGTTTATCAAAAACATCTACATTACTTTCCCTCATCACCTGCACTGCTCTCACGCTGCATTCATCTCTGTCAGCTAATTTTGTTTCCTTCACCTTGATGAATGCATCAGTAATGGAAAACCTTGATCTAAAGAGCTAAGGGGCTCCCTCATAGGGTTCATTGCGAATTACTGCTATAATGAAAGTTACATCAATTATAGCCAGTGTAAATCACTGTCACATTTAAGCTTTGTTTACTAGTGTTTATAGAATAAACTGACTTACGGGAGTTTTGTGAATAATTTGTTGCTTTGATGAAAAGAGAAACTAAAGTAAAGCCAAATATTGTCCAGTTTGTCCCCTCCCTATTCTACTGACACACACACAACCACAGGAACACACACACACCCATCAGCAGACGAAGGGGGCTTACCAATTGTGCTTTCATAAGCTGCCAAAGCGGCTTCATTGGATTTAAATGGAGCCTCATTACCACTGTGCTTCAAAGCTCAACAACGGCATTTTCCAGCATGGGGTCTCTGAATGTGTCTGCAGGTCTCTTTCCTAAGACTTTTCTTTTCCCCTCATGCTCTTCTTTTATTTTCACCACAACTTACCATCCTAATGATCTAATGGGACTTATTTCTCTTTTTCACGCCGCCCTCCCCCAGCCCCTATCTCTTTTCCATCATCGATATATCTGTGAACACTCGTGTGTGTGTGTGTGTGTGTATGTGTGTGTGTGTGTGGGTCAGCAAGTACTAACCCCCCGAAAACCGCAACAAAAATGTGGCGAGAAATCTGTGTGGACCGAGATCATAAATATTCAGTGGTGAAGGTCTGATCTCTTTCTCTCTCCTCTCTGCTGTGTGTCTGTTTTTTTTCCTTTTCTGAGTGAAACCAGCTGTCGTCTGAAGAGACGCCGCTCCCTCTGGATCTGACAACATGCGTGACAATGACCACACCTCTGCTCGCACATCTGTCATCCTTCGGTCTCTTCATATTTCCAACTTTCCATTTTTCCATTTTGCCTTCATCTTTCCCAGGGAAACATCGTCTTCTCGCTTTCACAACGTTCAACCTTTCTAGGCTGCAAATGGGCTAATCACATCTCTTTTGCTGGCCAGCGATTTTCCAGACACAAACAGAGAGCGTCGGGAATTGTAGGGGACTGCCGCCGCACAAAACTGGAATTCAGTGCTCTCTTTTTTCTCATTTTATTGCAGAAACAAACTTTATTGGGCTAGTGAGTGATTGAAAATGAGTGAGGAATAGGGGGGTAATTTAAAACCAGTGTGGTCCCTGATAGGAGCATTGTGGACCACAAGCCTGTTCCTAATCCGCCCCTCAGCTTTGTGTTTGATTGGGTACTGTTGAAAATGGGGATGAGTCTGCCTCTTCAAAGCCTGTAACATAAGAGGAATGTGTGTGTGAGTCAAAGTGTGTGTGTGTCTGTATTAAGGTGATCACAAAAAGCGGATTGTGTGCAGATGGACAAATAGAAATTACACTGGTAAATTTTGCATAAGCCCTTTATGAGCTGTTTCACTTATTACTGAGCATTTTGAAGCCATTGCTTAAGCAATTACAGTCCTGGCTTCAGCACTTCAGTAATTATTAAACTTTCATGCCCGTGCCAAATTATTCATGTATTTAAAAAAGAAAAACAACAATAACCAGACACTCAATATTGTGCTTGGCTAAGAATGCCGTGTCTGATTGCGATGGGATACTTCAGCATCGAGATCAGGCCTTGGGTGAACATTTAGGTTTGGGAAAAGGGCTGAATACAAAAATTAGGGCGCGCCTGGGAATCTGAGGAAATACCAAAAAGAAAATATAGCTTTTTTATTAGTGTTTCTGAAGTTATGGTGACTGTAACAATAAGTCTTGGCATTAATATGAGCTGGCCACACTAGAATCTCAATTATTACTTGCCCTGTGGGCTAAATCGGGGGTTTCCAAAGTGGACAAACACTTAACTCCCAAATATGTGAGAATATGAGGAAAAAATATGTGTGTAGCGGCACCCACTTTTTAGAGGGATAATCTATTCGGGATAAATCAAATTCAGAGAGCGTTATCCATTCATAATTTAGAAGTGATGACAGAAAATGTGCCATTTGAGGAGTATCCTTATGCATTATTGGCTTTGCGATGCATGCAAACGTCACGGCCAAAGATTTGATGAAATATGCAAAAATTCAGGGGTAAACTGGAGGAGAAGTTGCATTTTAGATGAATATGACTCATTTTTTTGGAGTACATACAGTATAAACAGCTCCTGGGTGGTGGTGGAGGAATGATCATGACAATAAGTTTTTTAATCACAAAGAAACAAAACAAAACAAAAAAATCTGATTTGAGACACCACCGTGGATCACAGGTAGGTCCCAGGTTCAATAGTTTTTCCAAAGTTGCCAATCTTTCTCTCTACATTCCTCGCTTCCAAGTCTTCCATTACTCACTTCCTAATAAATTTAGGAAGAACGCTCCTCTTTCCTCCAGGCTCAAGCCCTTTTAAGCTCTACACCTCAGGCTATACTGTAACAGACTGTGTCAGGCTGGACCGATCCACTTCAGGCCCCATCTGTTGGCATTTAGCACCAGCTTCCCCGCCTCTGCACAGATCTCCGGTCGACA